ATATATATATATATATATATATATATACACACACACATTCGACAAGAGTGATTGATACTAAACCTTTTGCGATCTCTGTGGGCCCCTCGGCAACTCCCTTCTCTAATCTCCACAAAAGATAATTTCCCTCGTCAGTTTCTTTATCAGCCTCTACGAGAGGTGCTGCACACCGGATTACATTTATAGCGTTATTACATCATTTAAAAAAAATAAAAAAGATTAGTTAATTAGACCTACGTGTTGTATTGGACGGAAAAATGGCTCTATAACCAAGGCAAGACAATCGCGGATCTTTATTCCAATGCCAACCGAGACCATTTCCTTGCGAAGACGAAACACCCGATTGATCTACAGTACCACCCCAGCCAATAGAATTAGCTTCCGATTCGTATTGAGATGAAGAAGAATCTTCCGTAATATTCCCACCGAATCGCTGCCAACAAGAAAAATCTTCTGCGACACTCTCGATATCAACCTTCGACCTCAAACGGTATCTGCCAAGTCACATTTCAATGCAAATATTCAAAAAATAAATTACAACTTTATAAGCTGAAACATCTATAGTCGAGAAAAGCGTTTTAACTAACTAAAATTCGAGGCCACCGATTAAAAGATGTCGCATTAATTTTCTTCTCAGATAAGAGAAACATGTTTCGTATAGTAACTGGATAACGAAGCACTTAATCGAAGTTGTCTTCCGTTAATACAATTCCAGCCAATAAGTCCGATTTTCGTATTTTTACACGGTTTTTGTTCCGAAACCATCTTCTCAAAGGCGTGTTTTCAGCTGCTCTGAAAACAAATCGTTAATTATCGAGAGGAAACTTATTTCTCCACCTAATCCAAAATATCGGCTCCACTTTTTATAGCTCAGAACAATATCGAAGACATCGGTTCTAACAGGTGAAATCTTAAAACGGCTCGTTTTTCTATAACAAAATTGAAAACATCTGTCATTTAGCTATAACTATAACAAGAATCCCAATTTCTTATCAAGAATCGCAACTATTCCGGTTTATATAGTTCGTGTGAGGCCATAGAAACATCCCTCAATCTCTTTCTTACATACGAAAACCGAACAAAAGCTCCAATTCGACTAAATTTATAAGAATCTTTATCAGCATTCAACTTCAACTACTGTTAAAAACGTTAACTGAACTTCCCCCAAATCCCTAACTTTCCAATTTACAATAATCTGCAAATTAAATTAAAATAAAACTAAAATAAAAAATTGAAGAAAATCAAAATACTGACCTCTTTAATGTTGCCAAGAGTTCATCGACCACTGACCCTTCGACATCGGCGTAAATCTCAAGCTCACCCGGGTCGGGCCCGGGTCCTGACCCGGTCCGGTCGAGCTTTTCATCGGTGCGGGGAGCTCTGTACAGGAAGAAATCGTAAAGAAACCTTCCTTGAGGAGTTAACATTGCGGCGTACACCGGCGGGGCGACGACCGCCGACATATTTGGTGTGGTGTTGTTCTCGCCGGTGGGTTGTGGATCGTCTAGACTCCGCACGTCGTTGGTGACCAGACCCTGGAGGAATTTGATGGTTTCGGGTCCCTTGAACCGGATAACGGATCGGGTTTTGAGAAGGCTGGCCATTGGGCCGGCGGATTGGAGCGGCGTCTGGGTGGTGGAGAAGAGCTGACGGCGGCTGCAGGAATTGGGTTTGAGGAATCTGAGGTAGGATTTGAAGCCAAACATTTTGTTGAGATTTTTTGTCGGAGGAGGGTTTGGAGGGAACGGCGGCCGTGGCCGAGGTAGGGGTTTATGGAGGTGATGGGTTTGTGCATGAGAAGGAAGAAAGGAAGGGCTGGCTACACGTGTGGCTTTGTTTGTTTTGCAGGGGCGATGCGTTGTCGGGACGCGTGTTCAAACTGTTCGACGAAATGTGTCACAGAAATTTCAGTGCGCCAAAGTCTTGTCTTGTGAAACACCCTAATGAGAGCTTAATCAATTTTAATTTTCTTGCTACTTTTCGGGCTTAATTCCACTTTGCACCCTTGAAATATACCATTTTGGCACT